AGTTTATACGGTTTACAATGCATTTATAAGGTTTGATGAATACCCTTGTTGTGTTCGTATGTCACGGTCGTCAAAACTCGAGAACGGCTGAACCGATTTGAATAATTTTTTTTTTTTGTATTGTTCGGTATAATACCAGAACCAATGATATCGCAAAAAATTGGAGGGCTGCCATCTATTTGAAAATTTTTAAACCCAATTATATTGATAAAATAAATAAATTATTACAAATGGGTATCAAATTAAAGAGTTTTAAGAAAGATAACTGCTGGAAATATTTTTGACGAGGGCTGCCACCTATTTGAAAATTTTAACTCAGACAAATTGATAAAATAAATGAATTATTGCCATGTGGGTGTGAAACTAAAGAGTTTTAAGAAGGCGTACAGCCGAAAATATATTTGAAGAGTGTTGCCACCTGTTTGAATATTTAACTAAAGTACATCGATAAAATAAATGAAATATTACATTATAGGTATCAAATTAAAGAGGTTTAAGAAAGATATCTGTTGGAAATATTTTGGAGAAGGGTTGCCACCAATTTTTAAATTCTAACTCAGTTAAATTGATTAAGGCCTGTATGCAGCTCTCAAGAAAAGCAAAAACTCCATATAAAATGACGTACAAGAAATGGCTAAGAAATTTTCTTGAGTCAAATTTCCTTAAAGCAGTACGCAGTTCTTAAGTAATTTACTACGCTTTCTACTTCGGTTTTCTAAAGTTTTTTGTGAAAAAAGAGCACAAGGCAACCCAGGTTTGCAACAGAAATATATGCCCGTTCCATTATTTCTTGAGGAAAGAGTGAGGCAACAGGCTGTGAAGTATCAAAATTGTCAAAATTCCTTGGACACACACGCGAAATAATGGCAATTTTTTCTTGGCCGTTTTCTTGAGAGCTGCATACAGGGCTTAAAGTAAATTAAATACTGCTATGTGGGTATCAAAGTAAAGAATTTTAAGAAGGCTTACAGTCGAAAATATTTTAAAGGAGGGTTGTCACCTGTTAAAAAATTAAGCGCAATTTTATTGATAAACTCAGTTATTTTTATGAAATAAATGAAATACGGTAATTTGGGTATCAAACTTTAGATTTTTAGGAAGGCTTATAGCCGAAAATATGCCTGAGGAGGGTTGCCAACTGTTTGAAAATTTAACTCAATATAATTGAAATAGGTATCAAATTAAAGAGGTTGAAGAAAGAAAACTTTAGGAAATACTTTTGTGCCGGATTGCCACTTATTTGAAAATTTTAACTCAGTTATATTGATTAAACAAATGAAATATTGCAATGTGGGTAGCGAACTAAAGAGTTTTTAAAAGTCCTACAGTAGAGAGTTTCTTTGAAGAGGGTTGCCACCTGTTTGAAAATTTATCTCAATTAAATTGGTAAAATAAATGAAATGTTATAATATCGGTACCAAACTAAAGGCATTTAAAAATCTTGATTTAGAAATCTATATTTATATATATAAAAATGTTGTGTTCCTTTGTCACGGTCATCGAAACTCGAGAACCGCTGAACTGATTTGAATAATTTTTTTTTGTATTGTTTGGTATCATAGCAGGATCATTTATATTACAAAAATAAATAAATTAAGTATTCCAATATTAAGGTTTACGGCCGAAAATATATTTGAGGAGGGTTGCCACCTGTTTGAAAATTTAACTAAATTTGCATAATTGATCAAATAAATGACTTATTAAAATATAGGTATTAAATTAAGGAAATTTAAGATAGATGACTGTTGGAAATATTTTTGAGGAGAGTTGCCACCTTTTTGAAAATTTTAACTCGAAAGCTTAGTATGTTGCACCAATGTATTTTCAATATAAAGCGATAAAATAAATAAACCAACGAAAAATTAGTCCCTTGTCAAATATGTTTGATTTATTATTATTTTTTTTATGGATATGTACAAATGTATAGCGGGTACGGACGATGTGTGGTGGCTGACGGCCGTTCCTGGTTGGATACGGGAAAATAAGTACCCGCTCTCTTTTCAATAGAATTGAGTTCAACCGCAAAGCGGTAAAACTGTTTGGAGGGGAAGTAAAAAAATAGTTAATTTGGCGGGAAAAATTTATGACAGTTTCTAATAAATACATGTTCAAGAATGATAGAATACAAGATTGCGCCGTCCTGGGCGTTGACATTTGTGTACCACAAGTAAACAAAAAATAGAGCGAAAAGAAGAACGAGTTAAAACTGCCAAAGCAGTTCACTTTACAGCGAAAATCGTGTTTTAATTTTGCTAAATACGAAAATATTGCATTTTTCACCTAATCTATTAGAGAACAGTGAACATTTTAGCGCACTCCATTGCTTTGCAATTGAGGCTGCTTCAGCAAACGGTTTAGTGCACTCCATTGCTTTACAACTAAGGCTGCTGCAGAAAACTGCAGCAGCATCTCTGCGGGATTGATTAGTTAACTTGCTAATGGAGGCTGCGTGGCGCAGAAATAAAATCATTGTGAGGAAATGCTGTTAATATAGTAATAGAGAAACATTGCGGAACGGCTTTGCGGTGCCCTATGTACACAAAATGCAGCGATTCGTCCCAGCGCTACACTTGCATCTACGCTTCTTGCATCTTGATGGCTGTCGCAATTTAACACACATCACTTCATTGTATTAGTTTTTACGCAGTCTTCAACTCAAAAATCACTCACAAATTGTAAATTAACACAATTTAAACTGATTTTTCACTAATAATTCATATTTATCATTCGCTGATTTGTAAACAAAGGTTTATTTACAAGTTACCACAACTGTCAAAATCGGCAAAACCAAAGTAGCGGTACCACTGACGGCGCCACCTTTGTTCGCTGCACCGTGATACATGTTTACATGTATGCGTACATATGTACATATATTATTAAGCATTAGGGTGGACCGTTTTGGATTGATTAAATAAATGAAATATTGCAATGTGGGTATCAAACTAAAGAGTTTTAAGAAGACTTACAATCGAAAATATGGAACAATATGGGTGCCAAACGAAAGGTATTTGAAAAATCTTGATTTGGAAATATTTGTTATAGGATTATCACCTATCTAAAAGTAAAGACTGAAAATATTGAAATTAAATGAAATATTACATAACTGGTTCGAAACGAAAAGTATTTGGGAAAGCTTTACTAGGGAATTTTTTTTAAATCTTTCCACTTATCCAAAATCCGAACATTGTAAATAAATATAGAATTTACAACATCTTATCAAACGAAGTGATCATATTATCAACGAAGAGCTGGTACACAAATTACTTAATGTAAAAAATTTATAAACAAGTAATTTTTAAGCTAACAACACACCGACTCCAATTCTCATATAAAATTGTAATAGTACCGTTAATTTTTTCATGATCCAATGATCGGATCTAAACCAAATTATCACCTGGAAATCGGTTGACGTGGTCCAAAGTTATGCGGTAACATGCATAAAAAAAATCCGACGAATTGATAACCTTCTCCTTTTTTTGAAGTCGGCTAAAAACTACTGAAACAAATAACAAAATGATAAAAGAGCACCGAAAACATAAAACTATCGCATCAAAGCTGTTTAAAAAATACTTAATGAAAACATAAAATTGTTGACACCATTCCCTAGCATTATAAATCAGCCAACTTTCAATCGTAAGCAATTTCGTTTGGGGTCGCCAAGGCCTACTACGTATATTGCGAGTAAAGAAATGTTAAATAACATGAGACAATATTATTATGATTATGATTATCATTACTATTGTGAACTCCTATTCCCAATCAAGGATTCCCAAATTAAAGCGAAAGCAGAAGAGCATTTACGATCGCATGATGCAAATGTTAAGATAATAAGAGCCGCAGAACTGAACCATGTAGGAACATTTTTTTACAAGGTCGTGTAGTTTCTGGCGTGTGCCGACATCAACGGTAACAAAAATAGCGAAGTCTCTTCTGCCTTTTCCAAGCTGGATAAGGAAGCAAAGCGAATGCGCCTGGTGGTAAACGAGGACAAGACGAAGTATCTCCAGTCACCGCGTTCGCGCCTTGGAACCCACGTCACTGTTGACAGTTATAATTTCGGGAAAGTGGAGCATTTCATTTACTAGGGGACCAGCACTTTCACCGATAAAAATATCAGCATGGAAAACCCACGCAGAATGACTCTTGCCAACAGGTGCTGCTTTGGACTGAGTAGGCAATTGGGGAGTAAAGTCCTTTCTCGACGTACAAAAACCGCACTCTATAAGTCACTCATCATGCCCGAGCTGTTATATGCCGCAGAAGCTTAGACAATGACAACATTTTATGAGGCGGCTCTTGGAGTATTCGAGAGAAAGATCTTACGGAAGATATACAGAGAATATAGAGCAGTTCCGCTGGCTTAGACATGTCGTTCAATAGGAACCGAAGTTTCAGGTGTAAAAGAATTCAACTCGCAAGCCGATGGTGAGCAGAGAGAAATGACTGGCGTTCTTTGTGGAGCTCGGCCAAAATGGCGTAGGCGGTTACAAAGCCAAAGTAGAAGAATATGCAAATGATAAATGACGGAGTTGAGGGACCATTTTCTTGGATGCGCCAGGAGGAACTAGGAAAATATTCCTTATCAGATGGATTCTGGCAACGGCTCGATCAAAAAGTTACATTACCTTAGCTATCGCTTCGTCTGGAATTGCTGCGACATTATTACCAGGTGGAAACATTGCCAATTCAGCTCTTTAGCTGTCATTGAACATATAAAGGGCCATTCACATACAACTTTCCTCGCTTTGCTTGACAGTTCAAACTTTGATAACAATATTTGTAATATAGATAACAATATAATAATATACATTAATAATAGCAATAAAAACTCCAATTTATCCTATTTTTGTCATTAAATGCAAATGCAAGCGCACGAGAAAAGATACATGTAGACAGCTGATTGCCAAAGCGGGCAAAAGTTGGGAGTTGCCCAAGATTTTGCTTCGTTTTGCTTTGCTTTACTTCAAACGTTTTTTATGTGAGCATATGCCTACATCGATTTTATATGTCAAAGCAAAGAACTATCAAGCAAAGCGAAGAAAGTTGTATGTGAATCAGCCTTAAATCATCGAAACTCCTACGTGCAATATTTCCAGAGCATCCGGCATGGAAAAAGTTTACCAAAAAATTAAATTCGTTGTTTGGGATGAGTGCACCATGGCACATAAAAAATCGTTTGAGGCTTTTGATCCATTGTTGCGAGATTTGCGTGGAAACGTTCAACCATTCGGGAATGCACCGATATTGCTCGCAGGAGATTTTACGAAAACATTGTCTGTAGTTTCTTGATTAACACGAGAGATAAATGCTTGCCTGAAATAGTCAAAATTGCGTCCAAGACGAACATACATACACTGCAGCTGAAGTATTCGCGCCACAATAACTGGACATTGGGAACGCAAAGTTGCCAGTCAATGAGAGATTAAGACGAATTTTATGGCCTGATAATTTTTGTAAATTAGAAACATCGAAAGGAGAACTGATCGAAAAAATGTTTCTTTATTAAGAAAATTAATTTTAGGAATCACGATTGGCTCAGTGAACGGGCTATTCTTGCTGCGAAGAATAAGGAGGTCTATCAACTAAATAATAGTGGTATTGACAACAGTCGTTGCTTGATCTTTTACCAGACTGCCAGACCACTTGCTCACTTTGATGAATACCACTAATGTTATTCAATCCAGCATTCAACGTGAGGAAATAGCATATACGTCGATAAACACCGTTGTGGGAAAAGACCATCCAACGAAATTTTTGAACCCGATTGTTCTTCCAGGGAGACCCCACATACCGAAATTGAAAATAGGTGTGCCAATTATCATTTTGCGGAATATTAATCAGCGAAAACTCTGCAACGGAATGCGACTCGCAGTTAAGAAATTGATGAAGAATATAATGTAAGCAAAGATTTTAACGTGGCCTTTCAAAGGTGAAGAATTCCCATGATTCCATTTAATGAATCATCATCAATTTAAAAGATTGCAATTCCCAATTCGATTGACATTCGGAATCACAATCAATAATGTTCCAGGTCGAACTTTGGAAAAGTATGGTTTAGATTTAGATGCGGATTGCTTCTCAGATGTTGCGTGTTCCTGTGTCGGCAAACCAGATATTCTTGATATCTATGCAGAGAATGGAAAAATAACAAATATTGTGTGCACACGAGTACTTATTACATAACCACACATATGAAACGTATGCTTTGTTTCGTTAATAATTTATCGTCCATATAACAGAAATATGCCACAGCAAAGCGTGGCAGGGTACAGCTAGTTAGTAATATTTTTATGAAGTTCACAGAGGAAAGGCCGGAAAACAATGAATTGGCAACGACATAAAATGTATGGCAATTTAGATGTCAACAGAATAATAGCTACGATAAAAAAGCATCAGAGAAGTGTGCGAAGAAGGAAATCTTTCAATTTAAACAAAAAAAGTTTTAAATGCCGTTGTAAAACGGTCAACAAATTTCTTATAAAATATTTTATTTATTTATAGTTAAACGAGCTACGAATGCCGTTTAACACAACGCAAGAATGCACCTTTCACAAAATTGAATTCCTTAAAATTATAATTCGGCACAACGCAAAAATGCAGTATTTATGAAATTGAATTGTTTAAATTGAAAACTTACATATTTATATTTATCTATTATTATCTTGAATTATCCAACTTGTAAAACGTATTTAGTGAATACCCTAACTTGCATTGTAAAGGTTTTATAGTTGTTTGTATTGAATTCGAGTGGTTGGCAACGCGCGTTGATAATGCAGCGCGCAGCTGACATATAGGTTGACAAATGTCAACAAAGTAAAAAAATACATATACAGAATTTTTCCAATCACCTTTTCGTGCGGTCGCAAAATTTTTCTTAAACTCGAATAACCTTTTTATAACTTGTTTTAATAAAGAAAATTGTAAATTTAAAGTATAAACGTTCGGTTTATTATTTCGAGTGGTCACATTCGTCTCTCGCCTAGTAACTACAGGCGCGCGGAGGAAAATCCACCTCTTAATATTGGCGCCGTTGAAAGTCGCTCGACTTTGTGCAAGGAAGCAGCCGCGGATTCGCGCCTGTGCCAGGTCACCGAACACGGAAGTGCAGCAAGCCCACCCCGCAAGAGCCACACCATTGCCGATTATCGCCCATCGTAGCCGTCGCCGTCCGTCAGCAACAAACCGCCAAAACCATCGCCAGAATCACCACCACCACCACGATCTTTGCAGCCTCCAGCCACAGCCTCTCGTCCGTCAAAGCACATCAGCAACGAGCCGCCGCATCCTCGCCAGCCTAGAGTCGCATACCATCTCTCCGTCCATCCCCATCCGGATTTGAGCCACCAGAAAAAGAGCCGACCCCCCTTACTAATTTATATATTTATTAACAGCTGTAACTTTTCATTGAAATTACAAGTTAAGAACTTAGATCTATGGCTACAAAGGCCTTAAGCTAACTTCTTAGTTGACATTTTTTTATTATTATTATTATTATTTTTTATTCATATTAAGAAATACAGTTTGCAATTCTTAAAAAGTCAATAATTAATAAAATGTTTTGTGTGGTAGGATCTGAAAGGTACATGAATGGATTTTGGTTTGGAAAGGTCTTTGTTCTGAAGTAGTCGAAGGACGGACAATTAAGGAGGATATGATTGACGGATACGTGGTTAACTCTGCAATAGGGACATGAGTTTGCGATGGTTTTATCTATTAAGTTCTGGTGTGTAAGTCTTGTGTGTTCGAGTCGTAATCGTATGTATTTTGTCAGATCGAGTCGTGTTAGAAATAGATGTAGATTCATGTTTGGGAATGTGTTAAGTTAGTTTTGTTCATATTGTGAGATTTGTACCAGTCAGATGTTTTATTCCATACGTTGCGTTCAGATTTTTGTGTAAGTTTAGCTTTCCAAAATTTGGTGATGTCTTTGTGGCTTAAGTTGCATATTGTGTGCACAGGCGCCGTCGTGGCTAATTTCGCGATCTTATCGGCGAATTCATTACCGGGTATATTTGTACGTCCAGGAATCCAGACAAGCAATATTTTAGGATATAGGTCCATTAACATATTTCTTAAGAATTCTGGGTAATAGTCGTTGTTGTTTACATTAAGGATAACTTTAAAAGACTTTGCGATTTTTTATTAAGTTTATGGCAGAAAGAATAGCTATTATTTCCGCGGTAGAAATAGATGTATATTCTGGACAGTTAGCTATAAGTAAAATAGGGCTTTCTGTGGTAACACTCAGTCCTATGTTGTCCTGCACTTGGTATCCGTCGGTGTATACAAGTATTCTATCGTCCATTTCACATGTTAGTTGATAGAAATATTTTCTGAATGTGTCCGCCGTCGTGTTTGATTTATGGAGCTTGCTGAGACTTAAGTTTATTATGTTTGCTTTGAAGTGCCAGGGAGGATATTTACGGTTTAATTGTTTAATGGGTTTGAATGGTATATCATTATTTTTGCAGTTAACTATTATTTTTGGAATCGTAGAGTTGGGTTTTAGAACTTTGCTATTTTTATATTAATTAACAATGTTGGGTAATACTAGGTTCACATATAAGTAGATTGTCCTCATTTTCGAGGTTAACTTCCAATTTGCCTGTTTTGTCATAAACTGCGTTTTAGTAACATTTTTTCTTTGAAATTGAGACCGGGAAATGGTGATCGTTATAGGAAGATGATCACTTCCACGCAGATCGTCAAGAATTTTCCAACTAGCACCTATTGCTATGTCGGGACTCGCGAAAGAAATGTCGATGTTTGTAAAAGTGTTATGTGTTGAAAAATGTGTGGGAGACCCATCATTTAAGACTATGCTATTTCCTTGATTGATAAAAATTGCTATGATTTTACCTCTTCGATTATTGGATACGAAACCCCACATATTATGCCACGCGTTGCAGTCGCCGGTTACAAGAAATGATTGGTTATGTTTAAATAGTACGTTTTCAAGATTAGTTTTGTTGAAACTATGGCTGGGTGAGATATATGTAGAGAATATTGTAATTTTTTTTGCGGAATGAATTTCCACTGCTATAGCGTCAAAGTCGTTGTTAAGTACGATACTTTTGTGTTGGACAGAACTGTGTATCAGCAAAGCAGCTCCTTCGTAACTGTTGTATCCATTAACTGAGTAGAGGAGATAATTTATTGGAATGGTAACTTGTTCATTGGGCCAAATATGTGTTTCCTGTAAGGATATGACTTTTAGATTGCATATTTTGATAAGTGTTAGTAGTTCGTAGTAATTGTTTACGTAACCTCGTATGTTCCATTGCAATTGTCATAAGCAATCTATAGGTATAAATGTATCTATAAATACATCTTAGTCTTCTGAATGCTCTTCGCTTTCAGCTATGGTGTTAGTACTATCTGTTAGTATTCTTTTACAGTTGATCGGTTGGGTGTATTGGCTTCTGTTGCTATATAACCTTTTGAGCTGGGCTTGTACGCGTTTTGAAGTCTTTATTGGTAGGATTTTAGTCGTAGTTTTTGCGTTTTCAGATGTGGTCGCGTTAGTCTGTGTTTCAGAATCAGATTCGCTTGGAAAGTCTGAGTAGTCGACTGCTTATCTTCTTGTGGTAATAGGTTTTGGTAGTAGTTCTGCTGATGGTGTAACAGTTTTGTTTATTGCTGGGTTGGTAGATGTGCTTCTGTTGTGCGCCATTGTTGGTAGGTTGTATTGCTGATTACTTGTGTTGGGATTATTTCTTACTATTGTTGAGTATGGTTGCTGATTGTGTTGGTATCTTTCGTTGTAAATGGCTAGCGCA